AATAGAAACTTGAGATCTCTACTGTTTCTTCCTGTGTTATAATAGAAACTTGATATCTCTACTATTTCGTCTTGTGTTATAGTAGAAACTTGATATATCCACTGTTTCGTCCTGTGTTATAGTAGAAACTTGATATCTCTACTGTTTCGTCTTGTGTTATGATAGAAACTTGATATTTCTACTATTTCGTCTTATGTTATAGTAGAAACTTGATATTTCTACTGTTTCGTCTTGTGTTATAGTAGAAACTTGATATCTCTGCTGTTTCGTCTTGTGTTATGATAGAAACTTGATATTTCTACTATTTCGTCTTGTGTTATATAGAAACTTGATATCTCTACTGTTTCGTCCTGTGTTATAATAGAAACTTGATATCTCTACTATTTCGTCTTGTGTTATAGTAGAAACTTGATATCTCCACTGTTTCGTCTTGTGTTATAATAGAAACTTGATATCTCTACTGTTTCGTCTTGTGTTATAGTAGAAACTTGATATCTCTACTGTTTCGTCTTGTGTTATGATAGAAACTTGATATCTCTATTCTGGTAAAACTCTATTTTGGTACAAGACATAAGATTAGCAGGCCGTATTAGGGCCTTCCTTTTATAACTTCTAAGCAAACATTCGTCTTTAATATTATCACCAAATTAATGACAAAATGTTTACAGTGGAAATAAGAGCAAGAAACTGAAAACCAGAGTGATGGTATCGTTTCTACATGAGTAAAGTTTAATGATTTTCCAGAAAGTGTTCGACCTACGTTTGTAAAAAAACAAACAAAAAACAAATAATACACTTGGAACAGAGGATAGGCGGGCCATTTACTCATGAAGTCATTGTGTTTCTCGTGTAAAATAATAGTCGAGTTTCAACAAACAAACTGACGTGGAAACGGGATGCAAAACATGGATTCGGAGATTTACACTCTAGTAAGCTAAACATACTAGATCACTCGATCACTAGCTGTGAAGACAGAGATAATAAATTCGTTTTTTTGGGGGGCTTCTTGCATTCACTCCTTGTTTCTCTCATGTACATACGTAGGGCGAGGCAAAAGTGACGATACACTTGTTTCATTTAGAACGTTATTTAATTTCCCACGTCTCACACTGAAACAAACAATAGTTAAATTGGCATCTACTGTCTTTATTTTCTTTATTATCAACCACTTAAAATCAACAGTATGATTGGAAGATATAACTTAGAACCAAAGTTTGACCTACGGTAATATCTACACATGCCTCTTCATAAAAAAACAACGGACAAACGATAGAAGATTGAATGATGAGGCACCAACAATTTCACAGCAGACGATTTTTTTTTTTTTGAATCATAAAGCGACAGTGAAATCTTCATCTCACACGTTGCGCTGTACGGTAAGAACATCAGGTCTCACTGTTTCGATAGCCCATTGATTTTTCGATTTTTACAACGCCATGATATGAACAAGAAGGTTGCTCATGTTAATAAAAAAAAGACAAGTTTCTTACTTGTTTTTAAAGATGTATAAGCGTATTATTTCGGGTTTTTAGTTCTGATTAAGCATTCTAGAATGTCCGGTAGAAAATATTAAAGCACAACGGTCTTAAAACTAAAACTCTTGATTTCAAGCATTTTCAAAAGTATTTC